GTGTATATATATATATATATATATATATATATAGAGAGAGAGAGAGAGAGAGATATCTTGCTTGGAGAGGGATGGTGTAGCCCTGCAGTCAGCTGGGTAATAAACTATATTCTTACACTAACATCTTATTTGTATGTCAGTTTGCAGATACACTAGTAAATATATGCTATCAAATAACAGATGCGTGAAAGTCAGAGATTTAATTTTCAGATTATTTTCAAACTACCTAAGTTCCAGAAGAACCCCTATTAAATCACATCTTCTGAAAATAACTAATTCAAGAAACAAATTCAAGGAGGTACGAGTACTTTTTTACTGACTTCATTATCTGTCCTAACAGAGATGCCCAGCATGGCTAGGCGGTTAGGATGCTTGATTCGAACTCCCGTCCCACCAGACATGCTCCTCCTTTATGTAATGATCAATTCCACTATTCTTTGGTGAAAGAGTTGGCGGTGGGTGGTGATGACTAGTTGCTTTTCCTCTAGTCTTTCGCTGCTAAGTTTGGGACAGCTAGCGCACATAGTCCTCGTGTAGCTTTGCGCGAAATTCAGACCAAACCTAATAGAGGTATTCTACTGGTGAAACTTAGATTGAAAGAAGAAAAAAAAAGTTTTCGTTTTATAGGTGAATAAAAATTATTTTATGAAAGTAAAAAAAAACATCTGTGACTACAAAAGTAGATAAATTTCACTGAAAAAATCTAAAACCCTGATGATGGTTGTAACTTCTGGAAGTGCCTTTGGCATCCAATTTTTTTACAGTTACCTTGCTGTTTTCTTTCATTTATTTTGAAAATTTTTTTTGAGATTTAAATGTTAATCAAAACTTAGAAAATTACTTAAGTTTGATGTTTCAGGAAACAAAAATTTTGCAATTCACATAGTGGTCATGAATTGTACATACTGCCTGTATGATTCCTAATCTCAAAAAATTGAGGCTTGTTTTAATTATTCACCAACTTTTCATTGTAGATCGTTAAGACTAATTCTTTATAACTTTTGGATGGGAACTTGTATCAATAACTTAACATCCTTTACCCAGTCTGTTTTTGAAACTCCTGTTCCAGATAGGTAAGTGCATAACGTATAATGTGATATGGACAGGAAGATGAAAAAAAAATGTCCTTTCTCCCCAGAAGAAAGAATTAATGTCTTTAAGTAAATTGTTAACAGTTTTGTTTGATTTTTCAAAAGAAAAAGTGATATTTAGATCACACACTGCTGACTTATTACTTATTCAGTGAAATTTTTCACTCTGAAGTATATCTCAACAAAAATCAGTCACCTTGTAATCCATCTTGTCTTGAAAAGAATAAAAAATCCGCACCATCAGCGGAACAACACAATAAAAAACGCGAACCTAAAATAAACTATGGGTTTCGTACAAATACAAAAATAAATATTTCCGTTTTTAATTTTAAATATTGGTAATTTTAATGAGAGGTGATGATATTGGGGCAATCTCAAACCTAAAACTATGGATAATGTACTAAGTCTTGTATCTGTTCAAAACAGTTTGCGCGAAAAAGAAAAAGTTCCCAGTTACTTACACTTAAAGACCACTTTGAAGTTTTATTTTACCCACCATACAGCCTTAATGACATTTTAAAACTATATATTAAACCACTGTATTCAAATTAGCCGTAACACAGTCCCATATATTACCGTAATCGACTAATTACATTTTCTAACGGTGCCAAAATGAACATGATTGAATAATTGTCGGACACCTCGAGAAAATTGTTTCTTTCTCTAACTTCAGTGTGTTGGTTAGATATAATACAAAGGCCAAGTAGAACATTCGTGACAAGGACGTGTAGACAAACCTGCAGCAGCACTTACTCAAATATCCCGAAAGTTTGCTTTCATTTCTATTATTCACGAGACTTAATAATATGATTATCACAATATGAAATACATTTCCAAAAAATGGTTGGATATTTTTAATTATACATATTTTAGTAGTAGCAATAAGTGATATTCCGTAGTAATGCACAATATATGGATGATTTATATCAAATAGATCTTCATAATCTGTTTAGAAAGAACGTCAAATATTTTTTACGATCAAACAACATGTAATGTCCAAAAAGAAATTGTCACAAGGTTATTTTCATTCATTTGAGCTAAGTGAAGAAAATTGTATTTGTTGAATTTTTAATACTTCGACGGTGAAAAATTACGATGTCAGACAAAAAGCAAAGCGTTATGAGCATGTGGATGTGAAACTTGAGATTTCCGGATACTGTTATCATTCACTGGCACATGAACGCGTGCATGTAGAGTTAAATACGTTCTATTCCTTGGACACTATCTTAAGTAACTTAACAAATATTATTCTGCTCTGGTTTGATAAAGCATATACTTCAGACACTAGCTCAAAATTAAACTGTTGCCACATTTTGCAGCTTTTATCCTCCTCCCTTTCAAACAGTTTGCTCGACTGTTCGCCTCGTTTGAGAGTTTAAAAAGGAGGCCGGTCATTTCCTTTATTTACTAGTGGGAATAGAGCATCGACACACGCAACAAGAAGGAAAGAGAAACCAGTCCATGAAAATCCCTTTGCATCCATCATCAGGATCATACGCTAACAGTCGGTGCCATTTATATTTTTGTTCGCAGGAGCAATCACCTGTACATCTCTTGGTCTGTCCTGATCTGGACCTGTGAAGAACGAAATAAAGAAATGCGCATACATGTTCAACGTTAAAGTGCTTTTTCAAGTTCAGTCGTTTTTACTAGTTTCAACATTACATATTTTGTATGATTTATTTCGAAATACGTCTATGAGCAATATATATATATATATATATATATAAGTGTACATTATATATTTTTCATGTGATAAAAGTAACTTTCCATTCAGCTATCGGAAGGGAGGTCCTCAATTAACATTTTGTTTTTGGGTAGGGGAGGGTTAATAACTAAGCATTGCAGAATTCTGGGATTGAAAACCAAAATTATATTAATGTATATGATTAAAGGAAAACTCTTCCAACTAGTCAATTAAATTCACAAAGATCTTAATAAAAATACCAGCAATATTTCATATGTTATGCATTACTGGAATGAATATTAATAAACTATTTTATCGACAAAAGAATTGTTAAAACACTGAACAATATTAGACGAGGCTTATATATGTAGATATTAGTACCATTTTACACCAAAGACGTGTAAAGCTAATAATTAAAGTTACGTCTAAATCTTAATGAACTAGGGGTTTGCCAATTAATCTTAGCAGCACCTGTGCAAATACCACGTGATTAAATTAACACCCAGTTATGTTTGATGAGTTAATTCACAAAGTTTCTAGTACTGTCTCTCTCACTTATTGTTTAATTCTTGAAAAAGATTTGAATTCCTTGCTTTGTCTGTAAACTGAACTACCCACCAGTCAGGCCGAATTCGCACTAGTTTCCAGGCTACGAGTAAAATTCATTCCCCAATCCAAAATCACAGATAAAAGACTGTAATGGTCGCAAATGTTCTGCAATACAATGTATTATTCTTCAGCATTATAAAGCTGTTTTCTACCTGTTTTACGCGAGTTCTGTGGATAAAGATGGCCGGTAAAGGCTTAACAAGCTTAATTAGCACTGGAAGGCGGCTAAGTGCTGTACTTGCTTAAACATGAACATATATAATTTTGTGCAAAAGGAACAGTCCAGCCAACCACCTAAACTCAGTACCATTGTAGATGAACACTATTGAGAGGTGAGAACTTTTGGCAGAAATTGTGGTTTGTTGAGATGAACAGAACCAGTCCGTTATCGGAGGTTTTTTTTTATTATTATTTTCTAGCTTGAATACCGAAAACTATGATACACCTCTGCAGGCCACCCAATCCCCAAAATTAAGTCTCATTGACAGGCACTCTTGGTGTTACACCGAATATATTTATTGGTCTAATAAATTCAAAGTACTAAACTAAGGAGAGTTTGTAGAAAATGAGCAAACTTTCTACTCTCTGTAATACGTGATACAAATAATATTTTTTAATATAGTAAGGTAAAAACAAACAAGTATATTACAAAAAAAAAACAGATCTTACGTTGAAATGTGTGTTGCAATTCTTGAGTATCATCAACTATTAGCTTCCATTTTAAATCAACTGTTTATACATCTATATATTATTATTGCTAGTAACGCAACTAGACCTCATGGGAACCGTGGAGAAAAATTACAATGGATCCTTTAACTACTGTGGAGGAGTCCATGGGCTTCAACCAGTTACATAGGTAGTTGTGCCTGCGATTCCTGCCGAATGTTACAACACTATATGCTAGAACGTTAGATTGTTAGGTATCTGGCCTATATTATAATGTCGGAGACACGCACATAGATTATTAGGGTCTGGATTACAAACAGGAAAACTGCTAAGCATGGTACTGAGTATATTTGAATATCTTCGTCACTGTAAGCGCTTACGTCTATATCACTGTAAAATAATAATGCCAATGAAGTTATTTTTTGAACTAATAAAAAAGACTAGGGGAGAAACGAATTTACTGAAATTTGTAGCTCAGGAAAAATATGCTGCCATCATATTTTATCAGTTAGAATCACACAATATCGTATTAGTACCACGAGATTACCATGCATTTGTCGATATGTATAGGTTTGGAAAGCATTTGCCAAATCATTTCTAAGTTCGAACGCTGTAGTGGGTATAGTTTAAATAGCTCATTAGTGGTACAACTTTATGTTTAACAACAACTGAACTTGAAAGTCATCGTAAAATAGTTCGTGGCAATACACCGCCTTCACTAGAATTTTAATGCAATTATTAAAACCCATTTAGTTTACTTGTTGCTGACAAAGACGGTATTGTAGAAATTCAGAAAAAAAAAAGCATTTACAATAACTTGTTGGAGGCACGTTCCGAGGAAGCCCCAAGGAATGTTCAAGCTTAACGCTGGAAGTACTAGATAAACTGATAACTAAAACCAGACATCAGTTATTCTGAAGCGAGCTAGGAAAGTAAAGAACGTGGAACTTCATACAATATAACCTGTTCGTTGCATGGACACTCCTTTGAAATTGAGCCATAACCCTTTTCCACTGATGGGCACGATTCTTTGAGTAGGTGGTCGACCATAAATGACGAACCTGCATTGCCTCGTGAATGATGTCAACAAAACACTATCTAACATAGTGCAGAGGACGTGAGAACCAGTTAGAACTAATCTCTTTTTCACTAGCTAAACGCAAGATGTGCTAGTGAGATTTATGTACAAATTCCAATTTACCAAGAGATTTATGTAAGATTAACTCTTCCATGTACGAATTCATTAGGGGTTAGTCACTATTTTATTTCGAAGTGATATTACTCTATTTTGAAATCCAGGTATATTTTAGGTTGTTTGTTGTTGTTAAGCGTAAAGCTATACAATGGGCTATCTATGATCTCACCACCATTGAATCCAAAACCATGGTTTTAAGCGTTATAAGCCGTCAGACTTACCGCTGAGTGACGGGGGGGGGGGGGCAAGTGTTTTTTTTAACAGTTAAAACTAATCTCTCACTGGCATTTGATTCATGATGGGGAAAGCAAAGTATAACAATAAATATGAAGACGGTTGACAAAACTCAAAACGTTTTATAAGTAAATTAGTAATTGCTGATACTGTACCATTAGTTAATAAATATCTTTAACACTATTTTTCAGATTTCGCTAATTATGGAATAGGTGTATTCCGAAGCTTGTTTGTTTGTTTTTAATTACGCACAAAGCTACACAAGGGCTATCTGTGTTCTGCCCACCACGGGTATCGAAACCTGGTTTCTAGCGTTGTAAGTCCGCAGACATACCGCTGTGCCACTGGGGGGCGTATTCCGAAGCGTTCGAATCTTGCAAATATATTCAGTAAAGTGGTTAACGGAAAGGAAACAGGTTATAGAATATATTATGAACGTATCATAAATTACAAGTTGCATAAGACAGTTATAACTATTCTTAACAAACAGCCGAGTTTTAAGTGTGTAAATTTAGAATAATTTTAGATCTAAAGAGGTTTGTAAGTCTTAAGAGCAGGGCGGTTTTTAACTGTGAGTAAACTTTCTTTAATGTAGAGGTTAAGGTCTGAAGATCCAGTAGTAATGACAGAGAAATCGTTAAATGGAATATTGTCACTTGTGGTTTCAACATGTGAAGGAATGGATGAGTGGCTGGGTTTAAGTTATGGACGGTCTGTTCTATTTGATACTTCTAAATGTTCACAGTTTGTAGTTTTCAAGTAGCGTTTTGTTTTGCCAATGTACTTGGCCTCACAGTGAGTACACGTGTAACTATACATGAGCCATTAACGTAGAAATTTAGGTATTTGACCTTTATCTTTAAATATGTGTTACCTCTATATATATTAGTCTGAGCTGAATTTGAGGGTAGAAGTTTTTTTTATTAAAGATAATAGTTATTTTTTTAATTGTAAGGATTGTGAACCCATAAAAGGAAGGCATATAATGAGGGGAAATGTGGGAATGGTGACACAGTAGAACTTTCTGAGTAATGTTTAACACATTTTTGTGCAGAAGTGTAATTTCTCCGTGTAAAATAGGGTAATTCGAGCAAAAACAAAAACTTTGTTTAACAGTGACATGACTAGATTTTGTTTGAAGAAGCTGGTGGGGGTAGGGGGATTGAGCGATTAGGAGAGTCAGCAGTGCAATAATATAAAATAAAGCGTTTTAATAAAATTTTTACTAATGAAAATAACAAGTAATTATTACAACACGTATGGCATTTCGATGTGTATCACGTCACTTGAATCACTCTTTCAAACATTAAAAAAGAAGAAGAAGAGGAGGACGCACAATAAAGCATGTTTGTTAAAGGGGGAGCATGGATGACAAGAGTTTGGGAATCGCCGAGTGACAATTTTCAGATTTCGCTGAAAATGGAACAAGTATATTCGGAAACGTTCGAACATTTTTATAAATAAAATGTTTGTGCTTTGTCAACCGTCTTCATCTTTATTACTCCCCAGTAAGTCTGCGGACTTACAACACTAGAAACTGGGTTTTGATGCCTGTAGTGGGCAGAGCACAGATAGCCCATTGTGTAGCTTTGTGTTTAACTACAAAGCAGCATCTTTATTATTAGACTCGTCCCTCACTTTTAGAAATTTACATTGAAACACAAAGTAGCTTTACATGTACTAAAATTCGAATTCTTATCCTATGTTAAAATCTATTTCCTTTAAAAGCTCTTGATTATTTTTCAGGTGTGATTTTATATCAACATTATGGACATGTTATTCTGTAAAGAAAACGAATCTAAATAGCAAAGAAATACATAGACACTAGCTGGACCTAAGTTCTATTTTTTTCAAAATAACTCAGTACTTATGATTTTCTCTTTATATAACATAATAAAGCATTTTTGTTCTCAAAACATCAAATTTAAATAAACTTTTAAGCATCTTTCTTACGATACGACAATATCGTATTCAGAAACACATTAGAATAAATCACGTTTTTATTAATTCTCCAAGAAAAAGTATGCCAAACCTTGCAAAAGATGGTGTACCCCCTTTGCTCAATGAAAACTTTGACAAAACACCATCTAAAATACTCATTGTGTGGTCTGCTGAGATCACAAGAACAAACTAATTTCAAGCCTGGCTTCTTTCTTGTTAGAGCCATTGGTTGAAAGTAATATAATTAGAAAATATACTCGTGACTAGTGTTCTTTTACATCCAGTAACATGGCAGGAAAAAAGGAATGTTAACATATATATATATATTAACCTGACAAATAAATTTCATTTTACTTCGAATAAGTAGAAAACTTGTTCACAAATCCATCTGACAATTACTGATATTTTTATACAAGTGAAAGAAAACAGTGGGGTACCGGATACGTACAGGTAAGGAAAGACACAATATTTACTAGCAAGAGGGGAATTGACAGTGAAGGGTCTGATAGCTACTGCCAGGGATTGGCTTTATCCTTTCTAGCAAGAAGGGTATTTTACTTACCAGCAAAGAAATAACTTTCTATTTAGTGAGAGAAAATGTCGATATTTTCTGACGGGCCTGATACTTACTGGCACACTTCTTGCTGAATAGCTTGTTGAAGGTGCTGGGTATTAACAATAGCTCGGATCTTTCCTGCACTATTAGACGCCCAGTACGGAGTTACTATTTCCACTGCTGATTCACAAACGTCAACCCTGCTCAGAAACATAAATATGATAAAAAAAATGATGAGAAATGAAATGTTGTGAAACGAACAGTTCACAACAGATAAGAAATGAAGCTGCTATGTTACATGAACAAATTTCGTCCAATTAACAGATCGTCTATTCATTAGATTCATTTTAACTTCTTAAACGTGTGAAGTATTTTAAGTATCACGTCATAACTTATACAACCGTTATGATATAAATCCATAGAGGTTTGACTTACTGAAGAATTTAAAACCTTCAAACACTCCTTCACGATGATAGAGTAAAACGATGAGTGTATAAAAGTTACACTAAGTTTATATATTAAGTTTAAACTTTACAGATTACTTTAACAATTTTTGGATTGGCTACAGATTAATCACAACAGAAACAAACTAATTATTGTGTTGATTCAACACTTCAGTTTGTGTAGGATACAGTAACTGTTGTGTGGAATATCAAATAAAATAAAGCTCAAATCTGCGAAATTCATACGCATGAAAACTTTACAACTGAGAGGTGAGAGCACAACACAGTTAGCTTTACATGTTATAAAAATATAGAAATGACAAAGTAATAGGTGTAATAAATTCATGAATAGAGATGAAACATTTCTTACGTGTATATTCAACGTAGTGCTGTCTCACGCTGTGGTTGATCCAAAACTTTGTTTAATTCTATTTTTATGTATAAATTTACGTGACAACTGCTACTCAATACCCTGCTTGGTAATACTGGAATTAGAGAAACTTGCGAGAGTTTACAAAACAAAAAACATGGGAAGAAATGAGGTAGATTTAGGGTTTGAATCCATTCTCGCCACCAAATCAGATAAAATTCGTACATTTATTAATATTTATACAAATTATATATATACATAAAAGGTTAGTGGCGCTTACTTATTTGTAGATGTACTGTAGGAATTTCGACTGTTCGTGGCCCTCTTTGATCTTGTGTGAAGTGTGTAACCATCATAGGTTTCATATTGGCCTTGAACTGGTGGTGTATAGTTATCAGCAGGAGAATAATTGTATTCTCCAAACATACGACGAATCAATGCTTTATTCTCGTCGATGAACTCTTCAATTTTCTCTCTATGGGATGGAAATGAATTAAGTTTGAAATATTTAGATGTAAAATCAAACAAAATAATTGCTTACCTCATTGATGTAAAAGTGTACGTTAAGTTCTGCAAAAACTCTATTAAATATTAGGTCGTCAAGAAATTAATGTCACGTTTTGGAATTTCATTAACCCCCCCAAAAAAACGTACATCACGTATAATAGTTAAAAGAAACCGCCTAAACGTCACGTTAGTGTAGCCTATATGTTGTGTAAAGTTTAGTATACTCTAATCCCTTATAGTGATGGCACATGACGAGACAGGCATTCGGCATGAAACGCTGTTTGAATACAAGAAGGGGAAACAACGCTTCTGTAGCCACAAAGAATATCATAGAAGTTTATGGACATGTTTTGAACGTTCATAAGTGTCAACGATGGTTCAGAAAAGTTCGTTCAGGTGACTCTAGCCTTAAAAACTGTGATGGTAGGGGCCGACCTGTTGGAATTGATATTGATGCTCTGAAGACGTTTGTTGTGTCTAACCCAATGCAACACACCCGTGTATGGCTTTGAAATTGCATGTCTCTCATGAAACAATAAGTAAACATTTAAGGAGGTGCTTGGGTGCCTCACAAACTCTCCGGTGATCATCGTTTCCAACGGGTGAACGTTGCTTCGTCTCTTTTGGCGCGTAATGCGCGTGAACCATTTTTGGACAAAATTGTTACCGGTGATGAAAAACGGATTCTCTATGTGAATATTAAACGCCAAAAACAATGGCTCAGTCCTAGACAAAAACATCTGGTGGGACATCAAAGGAGTAATTCATTTCGAACTCTTCAATCCACAGCGAACTGTCAATGCAGAGATCTATAGTCAGCAACTGGGACGTTTAAATCAAGCCCTTCATCAGAAACGCCCTTCACCCGTCAATCGGAAATGTGTTCTTCTTCTCCAGGACAATGCACGTCCACTTATGGCACGTTTGACACAACACAACATTATGGATTGGATTGGAAAGTTCTCTCCCCACCCACCATATTCTCCAGATATGGCTCCATCAGATTACCATCATTTTCGTTCGCTGCAACAACATCTTAATAGGAAAACATATG